TCCGATCTAAGATGAGGTTTTTACCCCTTTGACCAATCAGCCTATTGCATATAGTAAAGCCATAGTGACTATTTCAACATAGGGCAGGATGCTCACCCGTATGCAGGATTTTGTAAAACTACTTGCTTGAAGTAGCGAAACCCTAGACTATACCAAAGCATAGGACATGGTAACCCTACCCCCTCATAGGGGTGTTTTGGTTCTCTTTACCTAGTATCTGCGTTGTAGTGAAGCTATACAGGAGTGCTTCATATCAGTGGTACAGTTGGTATCAGTTTGCAAGACAGAATTCAGTAGGGAGTACAGTCCTACAGCTTTGATCATATCTATTCTAATGGAATCTTAGTTGAGGTGCTGTCCGATTTTTGATTGTTGCTTTTTCTTTATTTCTTTTGCTAGGTAGTCTACAACTATAGCTTCAGAAAGTTCTGATATCCCCAAAGTACTCTGGACCCGTGTTGAAAGACTTTGCAAGGTTGGAGCTCTTGTTCGGGAACAACCAGTGTTTGCCTCACTGTCACTAGTTGCAGGACAAAGAAGAGTCAGACAAAGTTCACCAATTCAGTTCTTTCAACAATCAGCCCTCAGTTCACCTATATTCAGCCCACCTCAAGAATAGTCACCTACTCCTAGAATGGCTCAGTATCCACCATCTAATTTAGAGGAACTACTACTTCATTTACAGCAATCAGTCGACTCACTCCAGCACGACATGACCTGCCAAGCCGAGGTCGCGAACAGGTTGCAGCAACAACAATAGCGGCCAACAGCGGCTTCTGTTTTGCACACGCCTAATGTGGCTATCCCTATACCCGACACTACTGCCAATGTTGCTACCGCCGCTTAGGATCCATAAGCTGAGGGTGTTCCGGCTTGTCTTGTCTGGGAGACCCAATCCCAGCACAGATGTCTAGAGCCCCAGTTTACCAGACTGAGGCACATTTTGAATTCGAGGTTGACCCAACCACACTCAAAGTAAACAAACTGGAAAAACTGTTTAAGAAGGCACAAGGGCTTAACTCTATTCCGGATATGGAGAATGGGTACACTGAATCTACAGTTACTTTACCGGAGCAGTTCAAAATGCCGCACATTGACCGTTTTGATGGCGCTGGGGACCCAATGGTACATTTACATCTGTTTTCTGATATCCTACAACCAATGGATTTACCAGACTGCAGAAGTTGTTGCTCTTCGACTGAACAATGTCAGGAATAGCTGCCATCTGGTATGCTAAGTTAGAGGACTCTCTGAAGCAGAATTGGTAGGAATTGGCAGAATCCTTCATTGCTCAATACTCTTACAACACGCAGATCGAGGTCATAACTCATGATCTTGAAGCAAAGCATCAGGAGTCAAAGGAGGGTTTCTCAGAGTTTGTAACTAGATATAGGGCCAAGGCATCGATAATGACCACCCGACCCTCACAAAAAGACCAATCTGGATGGTTGTTCAGAATCTTCATGGCAAGTTGCTGCAGAAAATGATCGTTCTTCCCTTATTTACATTCAAGGAACTTCATGAAATGAGGGTTCAGATCGAGGACGCAATAAAGCAAGGGATCATCACTTATGACAAAGAGTTGGCCAAAAGGCCTTTTGTTCGTAGTTCTAATGCTGCTGGGGGTAGCACAGCTGCGAGGTCGTCAGAGGTGAGTGTTGTTACCACAACCAAAACTACCGACCCCTTTGCCAATATAGGCTTACAAACTTCCAACCCTACCTGACCTCTGGGTAGAACTTTCAACCAGCTCTATATGACAATCTCAAGCCATGCAGGTGTTAATCAAAAAGAGGCATTTGAAACTCCTAGAACTACGACCACTTTTAGACCTGCTCCCACTCAAGCACGATCCCACCAAATATTGTGCTTTCCATCGACAGCACGACCATGAAACGGTATGGAGGTTAGTTTGGACCTGTGTAGGCACAAAGCAAGCCCACATGTGGTGGTTAGAAGCACTGTAAGTTCATTCTACTGTTTCCAATTTCAAGTACATTTGTTTTGTGTGTTTTCTCTCTTTTTATTTTTTATTTTTTTTAAGGTCAATTCTTCTTTCTGGGTATGCATTAAAAACAATTTTGGGCAGTTGAAACCACTTTAAAGTTTATTTTCTTTTTTTTTTTTAAAAAAAAATTTCTCCTGCTAAAAGGGCTATTTGGCTCAACAGTAAGACTTTCTGTTAAGATTGTGCGCATTTTATCCTTTGAATTCTTTGTGGATAAGTTTAGAATCCCCATTTTTACAATTCTATTCATAAGGGTGTTATTTGAATAGACAATGCGACATACCTAAAAAAATTTATTCAGAGAAGTACTCAGAAAATTACACCAATGGATCACATTCATTCTGGTTTAGGATAATTTTTTACGTACAAATTCTGGGTACATATCATTTTTGTATTTGATTTAATGTTTTTAAGGTTCCCATAATACATTTTATGTGTAAGTGTGTGCACTGTACAATTTTCTTGTGATTATACCTAATTGTTTGGTCAATTTTGTCGTTTTCGGTGGTACCAAAGAACCCAGAATAGTTCCCAAAGGAGTTACCTGCCAAAAACTCGGTTTCCCCAGAGGAAAGACAATATATTACAACTTGTTGGGAACAAAATATTCAAAGACATATCTTCTTGTTCTTTTACTGCTACATAAAACAATAGTTTTCATTCTAGATAAGGATCCAGCAAAATAAAGTTGTATAATGACTTCTAAAAGAGCATGTTTTCATGCATGCATTAAAGATTTAAAGCTTGATGACAGTACCACTCACCTTCTGGCAAACAGATTTGATTCCTTTGGTGATGCCATATGTTGATTATTATCATTCTGAATCCATGAAAACTGTTGAACCTGCTCAACACCCAAACTGAAAGGTAGATGCATCCCATTTTGCAACTGCAAACAATGAAAATTGTCTGACGTGTTGCTTGACTCATTCTTCAAGGATTCTGTTTTCATCAACTCATTATTCAAACATTCAGTTTTTGTCAACTCATTCCTCAAAGTTTCAGTTCTTAAACCAATTAATTCATTCCTCAAAGATTCAGTTCCGAGTAACTCATTCAGGACACCACTTTCTTGCCCAGTACAAGCAATATCTTCTTTTTCAACAGTGCCAAAGTAACCCAAAACGTTCGCAAAGGAGTTACCTGCGGAGAGTTCTGTTTCCCTAGAAAAAAGACACCTAGACATGGATCCAGCAAAATTAAGTTGTATAATAACTTTTAACAGAGCATGTTTTCATGCATGCAAAACAGATCTGATGCTTGATTGACATGCCACTCACCTTTTGGGAGGCAAGTTTGGCTCCTTTTGTTGAGCCACCAGCAGATGGACTTTTTCTTGCCCCACTTGCATAGCACTGTTCTTAAGTTTTGAAAATTACTTTTTCTTGCCCCACTTGCATGAAAACATGTTCATGAAAATTACTTGAGAGCTTCTGGTCATCATGGTTGTTGAGGGAACCGGCTCACTGTAATAATGAAAGTCCTTTGCTGGTGGATATACACTTATATGCTTGTATGTTTGTTCTATTTTAACTTTCTCATCTTCACCTCAGGTGTGCTGATAATATGCTTCTTTGACACACGCTGCAGCGTGATTTCTAACTCGCTAGCAATGGTAAACATTTACTGATTGTGGCATGCCATGTATCTGTGTTTTGTAGGTCCTAGCTCAAGTCAAGCCACACAAAAGCAGACAAGAGGTGAGCAATCATTTAATCAAAAGCTTTTTTGACAAATAACATATCTTATTAATTACAATACTTGCTCTTATTAAATATAGGTTCACCTTTCAAAGAAAGAGAAGAAGAATAAGAAGAAAAAGAACTAACAAGGTAAAAATGTAGATTTATACTTATTAATCTATCCTCTAAACTTTAAAAATTAGTGCTATGTTTTATTTTTATTATTTTTTATTAAGTATTCATATGTAATGATATTCAGTTCTGTCAATCATTCAGTGCATAGAAACTGATATGTAGACAATTGGCCTCATTTGGATCCTTTTTTCTAAATGAATAATTTTGACCTTTTCATCATTAACAGGAAGAGGCTACCAAAAGCAAGTCTGCAGGAAAGGCATAGTACCAGACTATGATCTCCGACAGCGATTACACCGAGTTTGAAAACTTCTCAAAGTGGTTGGGAGTCTCCCAGTGAGATTTTTCTGTCTTTGAGTTTTGTCTTGGTATAATATCTTTATCTAATTGTTTTGTTTCAAGAAGAGTTACTTTACTTTTTGTGGCAGTTTTGAGACAAGATTTGAGTTTGGTGGGTTATGTTTTATGACAAGATGGATGGATTTTCATTTTAGCAGATCTGGAATCAAAATTTTACAAATTGTAGTCTCTTACTTAAACACGGTTTGTTAGTTTTTTTTTGAATGAGACATTGAATTAATGCTTCATTTGTTATTTGAATGAGTTATTATTTTATATGTTAGTTTTTTTTTAATGTGAAATTGAATTAATGTTTCATTTGTTATTTGAATGAGAGTTATTATTTTATATGTTAGTTTTATTATAGATATTTGAATGAGAGTTAATATTTTGTATGTTAGTTTTATTACAGGTATTTTTTTATTAATTGAATGAGAAACTAAATTCAATATTTTTTACAGGTATTCTTTTTAATTTAATCAAATAAAATTAGCATAATATCCCCAAAAAAAAGGGGAAAAAAAAGAGGAAGATATGACGGCGTTTCTACAAACGCCTCCTAATCCCTCAACAGTAACGGTAATATTTTTAAAACAGATACGACGGCGTTTCAAAAACGTCGCTAAATATTGTTGGTGACGTCAGCGTGTGTGTGGTGGGACATTTGGCGGCGTTTGTACTAATATCACGACGTTTTTAAAACGTCGCAAAGCTACAGCGACGGCCGCAGCTTCGACGTTTGGTACTAAACGCCACAAAAGAAATTAGGGGCGTTTTTGATACATATGCTAAAAGTGCGATTTCCAGCAGTGAAAGTGGTTATTGATCATAAGCCAAGCAAATCCTTCCACTTGAACTTATAATTTAGCCTATAATTCATTTTTCATGCGCATCATGATTCAACTCATTTATAAGCAGTGATATAAAATAGTATTAAAAAAAATTAATAGGAAGAATTCATAAAAGCAGTGATATAAAATAACAAAAATAATAATAATAATAATAATAATAAATAACTTATTTTAGGGTGAATTATAGCCGCAGTCCTTCAAATTTGACATATGTTTAATTATAGTCTCGTAGTTCCAATTGTGTCCATTAAGTACTTAACGTTTCAATTTCAAATCAATTTAGTTCCTAAGCCTAAAATATAAATAACTCATCATCCCCGAAAGTTTGATGTGAAAGGCTTTATCTATAATCCTCTGTATGCTTTTAATTGTCGAAAGAAGAGCTAAAATGAATAGTAGTTTAGCATTTTTTTTGAATTAGAAAATTAATTAAATAGATTAAATTTTCTTTTATCCATTGCGTGTGGACATTTCATAGTGACTTATAGCTAGAAAACTGCTAGCATTAAGGTGCAAATAGCTTTAGAAAAGGCAAGTGTAGAATTCCAAAGAGGAGTTTTACAAGATTTTTTGATAAATTAGTTTGCATTTGGAAGCATATATAGTGGGCCTAAAATTAAACAATTTAAAAAAAATAATAATAAACAAAGCTACTGTTAAAATGATAAATCAGTACTTGCAATTATAGATTTTGACAAAAAAATAAACAAAAAAATAAAACAATTTTATAATACAACAAAACTCAAGGGGCAAAAGTACAATAACAAAACCTTAGAAATGTTGTAAGGATCAAATTGGAACACATAAGAAAGTTGGAGGATCAAATTAACAAAATTCAAAGTACAAGAACCAAATTGAAACTTCGAGAAAAATAGAAGGACCATTGATGTTATTAACCCCTTATTTTATTATGAAACCATGAGGGACGATTTTACAATATTCCTTTGTCTCAAATAGACCTTGTGTAGACCGTCTAAACTCGCTCCGCGCGCAAGGGCGCGAATTGGGTTCATAGCTACTATAGTTCGGACTCCTATCACGGTTCTAAATCTAATCTCACAAAGTGCAATGTAAGACTGATAAATCACCAAAGAGTCCAAATCTGGCAATTAGTTTTGAAAAATCAATTTTGAATAAAAAAGCGCCAAACATGGACTGCTTTTTCAGATTTCAGAGTCGCCACCTAAATATTTTAATTTTGAGAAATTTAGGAAACCCTGACTCGTGCCAAAGGCCACGTGTCCGTCATCACTAAAGCTGCCTCGGCTCAGGAACTTGGTTACGAGAGGGGAAGGTCCTGAAATGAGCACCCTGCTCGCCAGATCAAAGATCGGCTTCTATAACATGATATGTTGTTTTTGAAAATACATGCGTTCTTATTCCGGTTTATTAGCTAACTTTACTATGTGATGCGCACAACATACAAGTATAGATCGCCTAAATTGGAACAAAACAATTCAATGTTTGTTTTCGAAAATGGTTTGAATTTGTCACCCTCAAGTGAGCTTAGAAATGCGGATTTGCCACCAAACAAGGTGGGCTTAAAACATGATGATTTGCCACTCCAAGTGGGCTTAAAACTCATATTTCGATGAATTGTTCCAATTCAAGCAATGTAGCCTGACTCGTGCCAAAGGCCACGTATCCATCATCACCAAAGCTGCCTCGGCTTGGGAACTTGGGTACGAGAGGGGAAGGTCCTGAAATGAGCACCCTGCTCGCCAGATCAAAGATCGGCCTCTACTAACATGATATGTTGTTTTTGAAAACACATGCGTTCTTATTCCGATTTATTAGCTAACTTTACTATGTGATGCGCACAACATACAAGTATAGATCGCCTAAATTGGAACAAAACAATTCAATGTTTGTTTTCGAAAATGGTTTGAATTTGTCACCCTCAAGTGAGCTTAGAAATGCGGATTTGCCACCAAACAAGGTGGGCTTAAAACATGATGATTTGCCACTCCAAGTGGGCTTAAAACTCATATTTCGATGAATTGTTCCAATTCAAGCAATGTAGCCTTCATCCACAAGCACTCATGCAGTTTATCAAGTAAGCAAATAGCCTCATGGCAAGCATGCTATCATGGCGATCACTTACACACATGCAAGGATGCTAAAGCATAAACACTTACAGTGTACTCCAAGCCAAAACAGGAAACTAGTTAGAAATCATGCATGATCCTAGCTACGTTAGATGGCTAATGCAACACATGCAAAAATGTAACTAAGTTGGCTCGGCCATCTAAAATGGCATATGATTGTAACAATTTGATACACGTATTCAAATAGGAATTGAAATACGATGCAATTTGAATGATGCGCCGAGCCCGGTGCATGCAATACGAATGAATGATGCACGCATACAAAGCATGAGTATGCTAATTGAAACATGCCCTAAACTAACCATCAAAAACGGGTAAATAAAAGGGAGAAAGACGTGGGGTTGGAAGACATTCACATACACACGCACACTTATTACAATATTTGCTCTCTCGACGGAGGGTCCGAATGAAATGAAAGCTAACTAGCTATGCTAATTAAGCCAACTATTACAAACCAATTAATTAACTAACTCTAGCTAACTAATTATTACAAACCAAATTCAAAATAGCTATTCTAAGCTAATTAGAATATTACAAAGATGAATTAAAATTAGCTAAGCACATTAACTAATCAATTACAGAAACCGACAAAACTAACTAAACAAAGTAGTTAAAATGGCCTCGAGGGAAGGGAGATATGCATGCTCGGTTTGCTTCACCCGGAAATGCATTGCCATGCCATAAGTTGTCTCTATTTGCACTCACTGTGACCTCAGAGCATCAAACGCACTTTCAGGTTGCATCTGCCCCAAAACAAGAGCATGCTGGACAAATTTGCTGCAAGTGGCCGGCTGGCCACTTTAACTGGTCGGCAGGCTACCTCAACTAGCCGGCCGGCCACTTCAAGTGGTCGGCAGGCTAGTGCAAGTGGCCGGCCGGCCACTTCCCTTTCCAGAACCTTAACTTTTCTGCAACAGAGATCAACAAAGGCATAACAATGCATTTATAAGGAAATGTGTGTGCAACTACTCTCCTTATCATTTCTCAAGCTCAAAGGAGCATAGTACTCAACTTTCAAACCACCAATTATGCATCTCAATGCATGATGGCCAAAGAGCCAAGCTCGCACAGTATTAGTGAATGCACAAACAACACATAAGAGCCTCCGCCTCTATCATGCATGATCAAGAGGGTTGGCGACCAAGAAACGTAACACGTTTCATCACTTTAAATATGAAACGTGCCACATTCCTTGTGTATGGATTAACGTCCGATCCAAACACAATGCAATGCAAACAAGATGCTTATCTTTCAATGCTAAAGTGGCATACGCAAGATTCTATCATGTAAACAATGCATGCATGGCATGTTTAGAAGCTAAGGCATCAAAGTTGGTTAAATAGTTAGCTCAATTAGCATAGCTAGCTAGCTTTCGTTTTATTCGGACCCTCCATCGAGAGGGCAAATGTTGTAATAAGTGTGCGTGAGTGTGTGAATTTCTTCCAACCCCACATCTTTCTCCTTTTTATTTACCAGCTTTTGATGGTTGGTTTTAGGACATGTTTCAATTAGCATACTTATGCTATGCATGTGTGTATCATTCATTCGTATTGCATGCATCGGGCTCGACGCATCATTCAAACTATATTGTATTTTAATTCCTATTTGAATACATATATCAAATTGTAGCATTCATATGCCATCTTAGAATAGCCGAGCCTATTTAGCTGCATTTTGCATGCATTGCATTAGGCATCTTAACATAGCTAGGATCATGCATGATTACTAACTAGCTTCTGTTTTGGCTCGGAGTACACTGTGAGTGTTTATGCTTTAGCATCCTTGCATGCGTGTAAGTGGTTGCCATGATATCATGCTTGCCATGAGGCTATTTGCTTATTTGATATAACTGCATGAATGCCTGTGGATGAAGACTTTATTGCTTGAATTGGAACAATTCATCAGAATGTGAGTTTTAAGCCTACTTGAAGTGGCAAATCATCATGTTTTAAGCCCACTTACGGATGGCAAATCCGTGCTTTAGCCTACTTGCGAGTAGCACTTTCAAACCATTTTCTAAAACAAACATGAGATGTTTTGTTCTAAATTGAGTGATTTAGTTTATACTTGTATGCTGTGCGATCACATAGTAAGTTAGCTAATAAACCGGAATAAGAATACATGTGTTTTCAAAACAACATATCATGATTAGTAGAGGCCGATCATTTGATCGAGCGAGTGGGGGTGCTCATTTCATGACCTTTCCCCCTCATACCCAAGTTCCCGAGCCGAGGC